TGGCCGTCTGGGATCTGCAGCTGGGGACCAAGGCGGGCTACCAAGTCATCGCGGGCCAGGTAGCTTGTATCGTGACAGATCCGATGCTTGATTGGGCCTTCGTAGGCCTCCAGGGAGGAGATGTCATGGCGTACGATATTGACCGCTTGAACCTTGCCCGCACATTCCGACTCCCCAACTTTTGGACCACGAGGGATGCCAAGGCACGCAATTGCCAGCTGGTGTGCATGTCCATTCACCCGCGGGATGTTGGGAAGCTTCTGATTGGCTACACCCACGGAGCTGTCATATACTCCTTCAAACAAAACAAGGCAGTCCAGTTCTTCGAGTACAAGGTCCCCGTTGGTGCGCCGGGAGGCAACGGCGCCGGAGTCGATAAGGAACGACGGCCAAAGCTGACACATGCGCTCTGGCACCCTTCCGGGACCTTTGTTCTTACTGCGCACGAGGACGGAAGTCTTGTCTTCTGGGACCCTAAGGAGGAGAAGGTGATTTTGGCAAGGGCGCTCACGGAATTCGGGGTTGACCAGCGAACTGCAAATCCTCACACCACATATGTCGAGCCCTATCACAGTATTGCCTGGTGTTGCAAGACCAACTGTGATGACTCGGGGCTGCTGATATCAGGCGGTCAACGCCCAGAGCAATCCCCAAAGAGCATCACCTTCATAGATTTGGGTATGACTCCTGTCTACGCTACTTCTACATGGGTAGCCCTTTCCGATTACTTCCATGGAAAGGGCCGGCAGGATTTGAAGCTTCCCAATGGGGCCTTGGCAACACGGTTCCTCCTTATACCTCGGGCTTCGCCTCACTTTGCAGGTGCCCAAGATCCAATTGGGATAATATCGCTTCTTTCGTCAGGGGAGCTTGTCACGATGAGCTTCCCTTCCGGCTATCCTATTAGTCCAACCAATCAACTTCACCCCTCAGCATTCTTTGTACACCCATTTGTCACTCGAGTAAATGTGTCAAGCCTGGAGCGCCCGAGGTGGCTGTCAATGCTTGAAAAGCGCGATCGCGGTGAATCAATTCTCAAGGGAGGGGCACCAGCGGCCATGCCACTCAAGAGATTCGAAGAACGCACCATAATCCAGGCCGCTCAAGCTGACAGCACCATCCGGATTTGGGACTCGGGACACGCCGATGAAATTGAGAATGCAGAGCAGCTCCAGGTGGATGTTGCCAGGGCCTTGGGACGCAATGATGACATCGAGATAACCACTATGAGCATGGCAAGCAACACTGGCGAATTCGTGGTGGGCACGCGCACTGGCGAAGCTCTCATCTTCCGCTGGGGGAGCAATAGATCTTACGGGAAAGACGAGCCGAGGCCTTTGGCTCCGAACCCGATGGGCCTGACAGACATTAGCTCAAGGGCGGAGCCAAATCTGAGAGAAGGTCTCCAGCCATATCTATTGTATGAGATGATGCAGGGGCCAATCACTGCCATTCAGATTTCAAACGTGGGCTTCGTGGCTATCGGGTCGGAGTTGGGCTTCCTTTCTTTAATCGATCTTCGTGGGCCGGCAATTATTTACCAGGCCCCGATGACGGATTTTGCGCGGCAGGAAAAGAGATCCTCCTTTTTAAAGGGCCACCGCAACTCTGGCGTGGGCCCGGAGAAAGAGTGGCCCGTTGTGGTTGAATTTGGCGTCATGACTCTCGACGAGGATTCATACTCGAGCATATGTTGCTTCGTCGGGACAAACCTCGGGAAGGTGATTACATTCAAGCTACTTCCAGAGGAGGATGGCAGATACTCTACACAGCTGGCCGGCGTCGTTTCGTTCGACGACAGAATTGTGTCACTCAGCCCGATCGAAGTTGACACGGGAAAACCTGCAGCTGCTACTTCAGCAACCGTAGGGAGCCTCAGGGAAGGGCGGCAAATCAATGGCGTTCTTGTCGCAGGTGAGTTGTAAACCGCACTTCTTCCGACTCAAGTAGTTGACATGAATTGACTGGGCTAACTGACTTATAATAACAGTCACGGAAAAAGAAATCAGAGTATTCCGCCCCGCCAACTCAAAAGGAGCCTCCAAAGAGTTCGAAGATACGCTGTGCGACGCAGCCGGCGTCGCTGAGCTTGAGCTTCAAGGGGTCGCTGTCGTTGGGGTTTTTGGAGATCGAACTGCCCGGGCGTTCTCCATCCCAGGTCTCAAGGAAATCGGCAAGGCTGACCTCCCGATGCTTGACCCGAGCAGGTGTACAAACACCATTGTCACACAGACTGGCGATGTGTTTGGCTGGGCTGGACCGAGCGAACTGGCAGTAATACATGTCTGGGGGGCAGGCAAACCTTTGCAGCAGTCACAGGACATCTTGGTCAATCCAGAACTGGAAACCCCGCCCCGGCCAGTAATTTCCAACATGCAGTGGATATCAGGCACGCAGCATGTCAGCGCGCTTGATCTGGATCTACTGGTGGGTGGCCCGGATAGGCCCCCTAGTAAGCGAATGCTAGAAGCTGCCGCGGCTGAGAGGCGGGCTACTGCGGCGGGAGGTTCCTCTTCCCAAGCCCAAGACCAAGAAGGGTGGGGTGACTATCTGACAAGGCAGCTTAACGAGCGGACGGAGAAACTGAACATGATGGGTGACACAATGGACAACCTGCAAAACCAAAGTCAAGGGTGGGCAGATGACGTGAGCAAGTATATGAATAAACAGAAGAGGAATCTGGTGCTTGGAAGCTTGAAGAGCAAGTTCTTCTGAGCTTGATGCTTGGGTTATTGAATACGATGGAGAGACTGTGGCTGGAATCGGGTACACATGCATGGATCTATCATATCACAAGCTAACGAAAGAAGAAAGCGGCTGAATACATGGCCTTTGCTTGAAAATGTTCCATCTCTTGTGCCGTATTCACTCCTTGTAATATCATGGAAACGGAACATGGTCACACGTACGCCCGATAACCTACTGCTGTACATGCTAGGCGTTTCTGCCCAGCTATTACGTGGCATACCAGGCTCCGAATGTAACAAGTACTAGACTGTATGATGAGTTCGTCGAGCAGCCACTGATCCAGTCCCAGGGCCAATATGCTCTCCCCCGAGGATCGGAAGAAGAAATATGGGTGCGCTATTGGACTTGGCTCTCGTATACCGCCTGTTTGTTCACCACCGACCCACGGAGGGCCAAGGAGGGTGCAAATAGTAGGCGGAAGGATGGTATTGGCCTTGGGTGTGTCCATCCAGTGTAGCCCGAGGCCAGTCTCATCACTTTGCACAAGGAGGTGTGACAGTGGCGCTCAGCTGGCCGATAGTATAGGCGGACAGCCGCATTGTTGTCTCAATCCTGGCTGTTGTCTCATCTCAATCCGGCATTGTGCAGGATTACTCGTTTGTCATAGGTCCCAGGGCGGTAGCAGACGAATAACGGAGGAAGTTTGCGCTCCTGAGCGTCGGCGATGCTAGGTGAGCTGAGCCTGCAGGGTGAGGGGACGACCTGGCGAGACCGCTCACGCCCAATATATGGTGAAGGTGGCAAGTGGGCGTCAGAATAACAGAAACTGCAAAGTCACGACAGAATTATTGTGGTAGTTAGTCACATCATAGTGCTTCCTATTGTGTAATTCCTAGTAAGAAGACAATATTGCCTAGTAAGTGCTCAATAATTCATTACTATTATTGTTGTTGTTATTATTATTATTACCTACCTATTGTTTGCCAACATCGCGGCTTGTACTGGAGGCTTAGGATTAAAACACTTTTGCAGTCCCTGTTATTCTTACACCCACTTGGGTGGATGTAATTTGCAAGCAGCCGAGGAGGTGAAGCTGAAACGGGGAGATCGACAGTGCCTGGCGAGCGAATCAGAGGAGGCGGAGGTGGACGGATAGTTTCTTTGTTTTTTCCTCTAGTTTCCTTTTTCTTTCAGGGTTCTTTCGGGGGTTTAGGCGACCCTTTGGGCATTGATAGGCACGATGGGTGCCCGTCTTACCTACTGCAGCATGCATCCCCGTTGGTAGCGTGCATGCAGGTGATAGGTGATGCGGGACGAGGAGGATTTAATTCAATCACCGGTATTTGCCCTCGAATAAAAGCGATGCCTTGAGTTTTGGGCGGAAGGCTAGTCGGTCACATAGCAGAACTGGAGCCGAGACAGAGATACATTGCTTAGGGTCAGAGCCTGTAGGTAAGACCTGCAGTAATATATTTGCAAGAGCTGGTATAGGCGCCGTCAATCTGCACTTGTTGGTGCGGGCGAGCTAAAGCAAGCATTCTTCCTTTTGGCTCAGCCTCGGCGCCACCTAGAGCTGGTCCCCGGCTGAAGGGGCGAGAGGAAGAAGCAAATTGCCAGTCTGGCTGGGTGCAATTTGCACAATTGCATCCCATGACTCGGGGCCGTCCGTCTCGCCAGCCAACGGCCCAGCGGTAGATGCCGTCTCTTGGTGTGGTGCACATGTACCCACCCACACGCACGCACACCTTCTCGCATCCCGACAGCACAGACAAGACAGACCGAGGCGAGAGGAGAGATGTCACTTGAATTTGGATCTGAAATGTGCAGGCGTCCAGAGAGATCCCTGTCCGGCTGTTGACTTGGCCTCCTGGTCCTCGATTGAGATTGACCCGCGGTGGCGGTGGGCCGTACGTCACCGAGCCTGCAGGCAGCTCAGAAGATCTATCGCAGGGTCCAACGAGCGGACCTGGGGGAGGTAGACAGAGCTTTTACCTAGGTAGGAGCTGCATGTCGTGTGAGCTAGCCGCTCGTTTGCCGCTCATTATCGTCGTGAATAAGCACAAAGTTTATTGCCTCTCACGCAAGGTTCAGGGCCCTGGTTGAGATGCAGTGAGTCCTGAGCTAAACAACGGCTTTGCTCCCCTCAGTATCCGCTCTCTTCCCGCCCTATTTTCTTGATCCCACCGCCGCAGACAGATAACTACCTAAATAAGTACCTACTTATAGGTGGCCTCTGCTGTCGCTTCTGTCTTTGCCTTGTCCTTCACCACCACCGCCTGGCTTGGGTCTTGGTCAAGGCAACTGTTCGCATCATGACGGACACCAAGGACGCTTCGAAAGACGGCCACGGCCGCACTGCCTGCTCTGAGTGCCAGCGCCGCAAGCAGAAAGTATGTGTGCTTATACCTCCCCTCTCCTCCATTTCCCGTCTCGCATAGCCAGTGCGGCGGGCTTTGTAGACAGGAACCCTGATCCTAATCCTGCATTTTCGTCACCGCAGTGCAATCGTGAATGGCCCTGTAATCATTGCCAAAAGCGAAAGGTGGCCGACAAATGCCACTTCAAGGAGCTCAACCCCAACGCCGTGGATAAGTCGGCCGGTGAGCCTTCCAAGAAACGGGGGCGAGAACCTGATTCCAGCCATGCCGACGAGCTGGGTGACATTCCCAACGAGGACGACGATGACAACGACGATTTGGGCCTGGAGGCTCTGGGCTATTCATCCAGCAATATATTCACTGACATGAGAAACGCCGCTGGGGTATGTTACATCTCCCCTCTCTGCAACTGTTCAAATACTGCCCTTGGCTGCATCGCTAACATCCCATTTCCAATTATCAAGCCCAAGATGAGACCCCCAGAGAAGCAGGATTTCGCACTTCCCAGTGCCTGCCCGCAGTTGCAGCACGCCTTGGATGCACTCCCTCCTCGGCCATATCTGGGTAGGCAACGCAGAATGCACCCTGGATCGGTATAATCCCTTGCTCGTGTTAACCATGTTCTCACAGATCAACTTGTTGATAACTTTCTGTCGCACGTCAACTTCCATTACTTCATCATCTATCCCCCCTCCTTCCGCGACGAATATCGGGACTGGTGGACTGCCAGAGCCGAATCCCAACCCCTCGGGCTACAATGGACTTGTCTTTTGCTCATGGTATGTGCCTGCTCCGCACAATACTGCTCTGTCGAGCTGGAGGGCAGGCTTCAGAGAGACTTTCTCCAGAATTGTCAGACGCTCGGCGAGAAGTATCACGGCGCCGGCCGTCAGCTGTACAGTGTCATCCCCGTTGGCCACAGTCACTTCTACTCTGTACAGCAGCTCTTGCATTCGTGCTATTGGTTCAAGTCTGAGGCACAGTTTCCCGAATCCTGGCATATCCTCAACTCTGCCGTCAGGGCGGCTCAAGACTTGGGTAGGTGGCTTTCTATATCTTGCCCAGCCTGACCTCTTGCATTGTCTCTGTGAAAAACTAACTCGTTTCCGCACAGGAATACATCAAGAAACCGAAAATGACGGGCTTAGCATGCTAGAGAAGGAAATGCGTAGGCGCGTATGGTGCGTCCTTGATACTTGGGACTGGTGAGTGAGACTGAGCAAACGCCTGCTCTGGATTCAGTCTTCGCTTGGGTCGCAACTGACATACTCCAGGCAAATATCTGCCCTTTTAGCGAGACCCATCATTATCGATCGCGCCGACTGCAACGTCGAGTTCCCAAGTCTGACGATAGAGGGCTACTCCCCCTCCCCTTCCCTGCATATGACTATGCAATCCCAGTTGATAAAACAGCTGGCTACTAGGTTTGGGCTTCCGAAGAATGTTCAATCCGAAGACGAGGTTCGCGAATACCAGACCATATTGGAGCAATGGATCAGCACGTTCCCGCAGACGTATGACGTTAATCGACCGGACAAGAGCCAGGACCAAACACACCCCTGGATTGTACTTCACCGGCACTACCTTCATACCATGGCACACTCCATGCTTCTGGACCCGATCCGAGCCTACCTGGCAAAGGTGGTGAACAAAGACACCTCGGAGAAGTATTTACAAATTCGTCGCGATGGTGTGCGCTATGCGTTGAGGTTGATGGATGCCTTGTACGGATTTTTTGACCACGTGTGGCCCCGTGATGCCAAGTTCCATTTCGTGCTGTTCTGCATTTTCGATACCGCAACTGTACACGGCAGTGTCATCTTACATGACGAAGACAAGACAGTTGAGAGGCGGGACGAGATGTTGGTCGCCATCGAACGAGCGATCGACATGATAGATCGGTTGAAGGAGAAGATCCTGCCGGCTAAGACATATCTCTTCGTTCTGAAGAAGATGCAGAGAAAGGTTCTAAAGAAGCTGGGCATTTTCCCCAGGATCACGAACAAGAAGCAGAGGCTGGAACAATCCTCATTATCGTCCCTGCCTGGGCCGGCTCCTGGAGCCACGTTGACCTATTCGAGCGAAGCTGCACCGGCCAGCACCAGTAGGCCGAGCACGAACTCGAAGTCTCACCTTGACTCCCACGGTGGCTCTACGAACACCGTGGAGTCGGGTGGCCACCTGACTGGACCCCCGATGCCAGCTGCGCCAGAAACAGTCATACCTGAGCCGACCGCCTATCCTGCCAGCGGGCCATTCGATCTGCCTCTTTTCTCGGACAACAACTGGCCCCCTGAGACGGGCATGTACTTCGACTCTACGGATATGCAGGACCAGTTCTTACCCGACGAGCAGCCGACCTTGGACGCATTGTCTTTGGATCCATCGACGGGTCCGTCGATGGGACCTGACATGGGCTTCACCGCGATAGCGGCAGAGGAGCTGGGAGAACTTGCCAATCTATGGAGATGGCAGGGTCTTGATCTTGGATTCATTGAGCAGAACCCGGCGCAGCCTGGTCCGCCACCTCCGGGTCCTCCAACTGAAGAAACGGAGTGAGATGTGGTCTTGTCAGATCGGGAGGTGTTGACCGAATAGGACGTTTGGATAGAATGAGGCTGGGAGCTCCTCTAATTGATATTTAGACAGAAGAGAATCCCAGGCCTACATTTCAGGGGCTCATTTCGCTAGCTCAGGATGAGAAGAGGAAACCACCGTGCGGACTCATACAAGGGATATTTATATTTAATAGGTTAGATAACTAATGTGATTGGACATCTCCTCACTCCGCCTCTTGTTCCGTTTAATCACGGCGACGTGTTCATGATACCGGGGCGGGATACGCTTCAGCCATCTCCAGCGTTACGTCCAAGATCCCGCCTCACCCTCCAAACCTTGGATCCCACCGGACGTTTCTCGTTGCTTCTTAGAGTCTCGACCCAGGGTGTGTTTGTCACGTCGCGAGTACTCACAGAATCCAGGCCCTCGGCATCGGAGTCGTCCTCGCTGGTATCCTGATCCTCCACCTTGATCGTCTGGTCCACGGCGGCGTCGTCATCACCCGAGCGGAGATACAGGTCTTCCGTGTACGCCCAGCCGGGGGCGTCGAACTTCCCGTGGACGAGGACGATCTGGCTGCCTCTCGCTCTGACCTGTTCGATCGTCTGGGATGGGATGGGGGTGAGGATCTGGATGGAGCGGGTCGCGGTGTCGATGCCCCGGATGAGGACGAGCCCGATGGTGTGGGAGTGGCGGGGGTCGAGGGCGACATCGTTGGGATTCGCGATGAACGGCAGGTCCTCTGGCGTTCTGGATATCCTGGGCATGCTGGAGTCTTCTTCATTCAGGTCTCTGAATGCTTTCGCGTCTTCGATCTCCACCGCCGCCAGAACCGTTCCGTTGATGGTCTCAGCTAGGAGGTCGGCGGGTGACTGGTAATCGTAGGACATGATGGCCATGATCCCGCTCCCGGGGCCGGCGTAGGCGACCTGCCATGGAGGGATCGCCGAGAGGGGTGACGGGTTCCACTGCAACCTTCCCTCTGATAGGGAGGTCGTTTGGCTGTTGAGGTGGAAGTAAGTCATGGTCTGCATCGCTCGGAGATGGGCGGCGGTCCGGGTCGCGAACTCGGATGGCTGTGAGGGCAAGCTTCGGAACGAGTCCGATGCGACGGCTTCGAGGGCGTCCACGGCTTCCGCGGGCCCTTCCTCGGACATGTATATGACTTCCGAGGGCGAGGTTCGTTTTATGATGTCCTCCAGGAGCTGGAGGCCAGTGCCGAGAACCCAGCCGGGGGTGTTTATGATCAAAGGGAGGTCCTGGAGCTTGGAGAGGTACTCGTCATGAAGGTTGAATGCGCATTCACGGTAGAGATCTGGGTCCGAGGCCGGGGACACGGCTGCCAGAGCATGGCAGCGGATTACCTTCGCTCCCTCGTCCTCGAAACAGGAGTGGGAGAATGGCGCGCTTAAGTTTGGCTCTGTGACGTGGACGAGAGACAGGGTGCCGGGAACCGCATATTCTGGCTGGCCTGGGTCCAAATCCAAGACTGCGACACCTAATGGCGTGGAGTGGGAGGATCTCGTAAGGAGTCGGTTGGTTAGAAGTCTTGAAAAGGTAGATTTGCCTGTCGACTTGGGTCCGCAGACGAGAGTCGTGTATGACGTCTGGTCTGCGTGGGAAGCAAGTGAAGCTGCTAATTTTTTGTTCCATGCGGGAGGGGATACAAGGTCTTGAATAATGCTCTTCTTAGGAGCATCTTCAGACGAGTATAGCTAGGACCATTCGTTAACACCAGGGAAATGTAGGGGGGGGTTGGGGCCAAGACGTACAATGCGGAATGTAGACGCTGGGCGTTGGACTCCAGGAGCCTCAACAGGGTCGTTCCAGATTCTTCGAAATAGAGGAGACAGTCGAGCAAGTTGCCGCAAGGATTTGGCAGCAGGGTCGGCATGTAATTCCAGTTTCGTAGGCTTTGTGGTTCTCAACACCGGGATGGCATGGCAGTGAGGCGCATGAATCCATTGTAGATCTGGCGATGGCCGCAACGTTGCTCCAGCAATGGTAAGCTCACCCTCGATAAGAACTATACCAAAACTCCCAAGAACCATGAAACGCTGTTGCGTGGTCAGTAAATAAGTTTCAATGGGGACAAGACAGGTAAAATCACCTCGCTCTCCTTTAGACGGAGCTGGATCACGCCCTTTGATGTGGTGCGGTGGTTCTGAGATGTCTCTCTAAAAGAGGAATATTGGATACTTCTAGAAGGAGAAGCTGCAGCAATTTCGGAACTAAGAAGTACCGATATGTTAGATGGGCGGCTCCAAGGGACAATCTTGAGAAAGTGGCCTCACCCTCTGGCTGCCTCGCTTCTTTTCAACGGGGTTGACCGCCCAGACTTTTTGAGGTCTTGGGGCGTGCTTGTCTGACTAGCAGACTGGCTTTCTGAGTTCCCTTGACGGCTGAGATTTTGCAAAACACTGAATGCATTTGCGTTGCTGGAACTCCTGCTGTTGACAGAAGTCTCCCCTCTGGAGGCACTGCTTGGCTGGCTACCTTCGAAAGAGGCCACTGCGGCCAGCCGCCGCCGCGCTGCCAGAGCACTCACGGCGCTGACGGCACTCACAGAAGCTGCAGATTGTGTTAGTCGCATAACATAATGTGCAATATGGTGAAGGTGTAGGCTCACGTTGTGAACCAGCCTCTGGCTCATCCAGCTTTCGTCGTTTGCTGGACGACATTGCACTGTGTACAGCTTGATCAATGCCCCTTCTTGCTCCCTTGATTGAATTAATATCTTAATAGGGAGCCACAATTGAGTGCAGAACCTTCAAACATCGATGCGCTTGGCCCAAGCCAGCTTCAAAGCTGCTGGTTTGGTTGATCAATTGAGGGAATGTCTTATCGATAAGACCGCAATGAAATGAAGGTGTGATTTTTTTAAGGGTCCAACCAAGCACAGAGAACAAACATTTGCTCTGTCCAGCCAATCACACGACAATCTGGCGACTAGGGTGCGCTCTGGCGGAGCTGAAGAAAGCCTGCTTGGACTGGGATTCACGCAGGCACGAAATATCACATCCATTATTCAGGCGGCATAAGGAAAGCGCGGCAAGAACAAGCCACTGGCTCAGCTAACTAGACATGGAGTATTTACGGGAACTACGTGTTTTGCGTGTATTGCCGCACTTTCAACCCGTATGAGCCGTACTATTGACGTGATATTTTTTTCATATTATCTCTTAGTCCTGCTACTTTACTTTCCTCACTTCTTACCACCAGGCGTACTCTCGCTACGGGTGTGAGGTTCGAGCGGGAAGGTTTGCAACTCGGGAGTCACGCCGCCGTACACACGGTCCCATCTCGAGGCAAGCGGTTCGGGTGTCTCCCACGCGTTCTCAGGGTCGCGTAGCCACTGGCGCAGCAGATGTCTCCTGCAGGGCCGCGGCCTGGTCAGTAATATGATCTAGTACACTTCTCGCCATCAAGGGGAACTCACTGCTTGTCTGGTGTATCGGTAAAGCCATCGCGGGCGTGGAAGATGGCCACGTTGTTGACGTACTGCATATCACCCTTTTCGAAGTTGGTTGATACGCTATATCTCTCGCCCAGGAAGTGCACAGCGTCGAGAGCTTCGGCCTGTGCCTCGGTGATAGGCGGCAGATGGCTGCTGCGCGGCAGCTCCCCGAACCCAACATAGTATCGCCTGCCATATTGGAGGAGCACCCTGTCGGGGGTCTTGCCGTCGGCGCTGGCGGGTTGGTGGTACAACAGTGGTCGGCTCATGAACTTGTCTTTGTCGTCAACGGTCTTGGTGAAGCTAAGAGGGAAATCCTTTGTCAGTCATCTCCATGCTCCTTCGTTTCCTTCCTGCCGCACTCTCTTCGGCGTAACAGGAGAAACTCACAGTTCCGCCTCCCACGTTCCGCTCAAGGTGTGGATGAGGTCGGGCCTCGTTGCGGCCAGATGGTTGTATACGCGCCACGTGCTAGCCAGACGGCTGGCGCCTCCCTCGGCGGCCGTTGAGAGCGCGAAAAGCGAGACAATGTCGCCTGAGTCGGTGTGGAAGACCTGCTTGTCTGCTGTGTATGCCGGAGTGCCGATTTTCACCTTCTCCTTGTCCCGGTTCTCACCGAGTCCGGATCTGACATCCTTGACGTGCCCAACGACGACGTCGGCGCGCTTGCCCTCGAAATATGCGTCCTGTCTGCCGCGGATGGAGCCAATGTGTGAGGAGACACCAGTGTAGATGATGATGTTTTCCTCGCGGGTGTACTTGTCAACGTCAAGGCCGCGGATGACAAAGAATCCATGACCAAAATGCAGTTCACGAGACAAACGGCGGAGCTCTGCATGCAAGTTGGGCAGGGGGAAGGTCTCCTCCTCGATGTAGCCCTTGGCGAGATTGAGAGCTGATTTATTGTCAGCCTGTCACTGCGCTATCATCGATGCAAGCCGCGCTTGAAGAACACTTACACTTGAAGTGCGCGAGAGAACTATCAATTTCCGCTAGCTGATCAGCCGAGAGCACGTACGTCCAGTCGTATTTTTGGGCGATAGTCTCCCCCTCCCAGACCAGATCACCCTTGAGCTCCTTGGGGAAACCCTCAGGCAGAGTCTTGGGGAGGTCTTCGGTTTGGGTGCGGCGGGCCGCACGGGCCTGGTATTTTTCCCAGTCCGGGTGATATGCAATATCCGGCTGGCCAGGTGGTGGCTGGGCGGCGGGCGTCGTGGAAAAGACCTTGCCAAGTGGGAGCGGAGCCGGGACGGCGACGGTTGCAGCGGCCATGTTGGTTGATTATGGGCTCGGAACAATAGATTTGAACGGCGCCGGGCTGGTTCGGGGTAGTGTGGTTCAGAGACCTTCTCGAATCACTAGTGTTTTCGAATCAATATTACCCTTAGTAGACAGGGGATGGTGCTGTCTGCTTTATACCAGACACCAAGATTCACCAGCATCGTCAAGGCCGACGGACGGAGCGAGACGTGCTCTCCAGGCCGTAGGGCTTAGCACCTCATCGAGCATGACGATGACGTGATCCTGGGGCAAGAGGGGTTTC